GGCGATAAAGGCGCAAGCGGCGGTGATCGAGAGTAGGAGACAGGTGTACCCGCCCCATCGAGCCGGCCGCGGACCCGTCATGAGATGCGTGACGGGTGGTTCGGGTAGGCTGACTGACGGCTGCGCATAGCGTTCTTCGGTGCGCGCATGATGCGCGACACTGCGACCGGGAGCATCGGATCCTGGTGGTGGGGCGTAGCAAGGTGAGCTCTGGCTTGGCGGGTGGGAATTACCTTCGGCTTGCTCCGGCGATGCGGCCGCGGCTGTCACCTCAAGACCTTCCCTTGACCTTCCCAGGTTGGACACCCACCATCCATTGGGCTGTCAATTCCACTCGCAAACATGGCCTATAGTGTCGAACCCAGCCTTTCGCACAGTGCGGCGATGTAATTGCATCTAGAATCGCTATTGGTCCTTACTCTTATTGTCCTGCGCATCATCCCAACCGACGCTCTTGCAGCCGTGCGCCTTCCAGTGGCCAATCTTTCCCCGCGTTATTGTATGCGGTACCGCTTTATAGTCTCAATCGTCTTCGGCATCTCGAAGTTGACTTGTCTCGCGGTCTCTCTTCTCGGTGCTGGACACCTTTGAACGCCCTTGCTACTGATATCGTTATTCCGACTTTCCTAGGTCATCGTCATGCCTCAGGTGCCTTCTCAACCCCCTCCCTACTCTATTGAGTGCTCGTCATTCCCTCCACCTATCCAAGCCTCTGCTGGCTCGGATGCTTGGGCTTTCCAGCGCGCCTTTGAGTCGGCCCGCGAGCCTGTCAGATGGGCTATACGTATGCGCTCCGTCAACTGAGACGATCGAAGATACTGACGTCCATTCTTAGTCACCACTATGCGTTGCTGGGAGAATGAGTGGACCTTCAAAGATGTCGAGGTGCCACGGGAACGCATACAAGACGCATACGACGAATCGCCGCCTGACCTGAAGGCTACTCTGGGTGCGTTTGTCATCTTCCGAATTACCTCAACAAACTCATGTATCTTCTCCCATTCAGATCACATTATGAAACACAGACTTCCATTCTATTTCTTGAGCGAGGGGGACCGGCGTTGCCATGATCTATATCGCACTGGACGTATGGAAGAAGCGGAGACGACAGCGTTATCCACAGAGAACTTCGTGCGCGAATTCAACTCTGCTGTGGAAGTGGTTCGCGCGGCTGTCTGTGAGTGAGAATCACACTTGTCCTCCGGAGTCGAGTCGAGACGGTCCATCTAGTGAAGACATTCGATGACTGGGCGTTCTACGAAGAACATCGCGAAATCAGTCCGGTTCCAGAAGCAAACGTCGCTCAAGCTTATATAGCTGCTTGTGACGAGCTCAGGATAGTCGTCAGTACGTGAACATTGTCAACATCGCTGCGCGAGTGCCATGGGAGTTGTTGACCTACATTATGCATAGGCTGGATTCTCGCGACCGGATGGATAGTTCCTGTCTTCAATCGTAAGGCGTTCGAGCATTACCAGTCTTGTGTGCATCGTATTTGTCAGAATCACGTTACAGCCCACATCGAGATACACGCTATGAACAGACTTGAAGGGATGTATTGACGAATGTACGCTGTCTAATATGAATTGCTTGTTATTGCATACCACTTTCATGTATACGTACGTATATTTTTAGCTGAATGGTAGCCTGTCACCATTTTCGGCCCGGGTTAGATGTCTGTTAAGGGGATAGTCACATGCCCCTAAGCACGATGGTCCTTTCAGACATGATCATAGGAATCGTGGACGAAGATGCTGCTATGTAAGAGTAGTCTCATTAGGGCGAGCCAGGGCAGGGGATGCTTTGGGCGACGAGACGGGTGTCCTTAGAACGCTTGCAGCCCTGTAAGAGGGACCTGCCCTGCCGACATTGGCCGGATGCTCACGGTTATTGACGCGGAGGTTGATTTGTATAATATCTCGCGCTATGAGAACCTTATTATCAGTGAACCGGAAGAGGCAGAGGCAGAGTGAACCATCCTCACCGTTGTTCAAAAATTTCGCAGGATCGCGTGGGTATTCGTCTAGTCCGATATTGAGTACTTGAGCGATAGACTCAATGGCCGCGGTGAAAGCTCTGGGTTGCTGATTGATAGCGTCGATGAGTGGAAAGCCGCTAAGCGTTTGTGCATTCACCCGAGGAGGAGCATGAATTGAGCTTCCAGTCGTTCCAACGGTTGGGGGAGTAACGAGCCGACGGGCCTCATCCCCTGCTACGTCCCCTAAGCCTTCCTGTGCCGCGTATGCCTGCCTCAAGTCTCTCTCAGCCTCTACAAGGCATATCCGCGCATTCTCGACATCCATCTTGGCGTCTTCGAGCTTCCGCTCCGCTTTATCGACCCTGTATTGCTTCCGTCGCACCCGCCTTTGGCGCGACTCGATGTATTCGGCGTCGCGTGAGCGTTTAGCTGCGGCCAGCGCAGAGATATAGCTGGGAGCAGGATCGACAGAGCCGTCGTTATCCGACGCAGTGACGGTAGAAGCGGCAGGTTCTGGCGCGGGGTGGGCAAACGCTACAGTGGGCGCCGGAGAGGGTGGTGTGGAGGGGCGACGTTGAGGAGCGACCAGTGTGTGATGGTGGCGAATCGGCTGGGTGTGACTGCGCTCGGTCGGACCGTGCTCCTGAGCGGCACGGGCGGCCACACGCCGAGCCTGACGTGCGTTGCCAATGACAGGATACACAGGCGAAGACGAGAGCGGTGGAGCCGCTCGTTGAGCGGGCGCGGCATTGCGTCCGGAAGGGGCACCATTGCTTGAGGTGTCGCGAGGTGGTTGGGTACTGCTGAGTCGAGGCGAGAGCGAGCGGCCGGGATACGGAGGGGTACGTCGTGGATCGCGAGGTGAGGGATCGTACACTGGCGGAGGCGATAGGGGTGCAAGCAACGGGGATCGAGAGTAGGAGGCAGGGGTACTCGCCCCTTCGAATAGCAATGAGCCACCGGCGGACCCGTCATGAGATGGGCGGCGGGTGGTTCGGGGTGGGCTGGCTGACGGCTGTCCATAGCGTCGATGAGTGAGCGCATGATGCGCTACACTGCTACCTGGAGCATCGGATGGTCCTGTAAGAGGCACGTCCTGTTCAACATCTGGGAGGTCAACGCTGCGTTGTCTTGGGGCGGAGGGTTGTTGAGGCGGGCGTTGAGGTCTTTGTGGTGGAGGCCTTTGCTGCGGGGTATACAAGTAATGCTCGGAGTCATACAAAGGTATCCTACCAAGAGTAAGCTGGAGTTCACATGCGTTTAGCACAAGAGAGAAGCTCGTACCCAGTACCAGAATGAGGAGATGTAGTCATCGTGATGAGGTCGTGAGTGATTGCCGGAAAGTCTAATGGGCTGTGCTAGATATTATGCACCGGATAAGTATGAGAGGGTGGTACCAGACAAGGAGGGCCGACTGACCACTCGAGAGTACATATAGTCTCAGCACCCGCCGGTATGGGTTACGAACAAGGCATGCCGCTTTCGTCTGGTCAGCCCACGGTCGTTCAATACACAAAAGCTGGGAAGCCCGCAGACCTTGTTCTGTCAACCTGTCGTATAGCCCGTTGCTGATGACCTGAAAGAATGCATGGCAACGGTGTCGCGTCCCTTGTAGAGCGGCGGTATATAACAAGGACCCATGGCCTTATTCCGTAGCAGTTGCCCAAGCCGGAACAAGAGCATATCGGAGACGCTTTTGCGGCGTGTGAAGACGTCGCTCAAGGCGTGCATCAGAGGTAGCCCATTCGAAAGGTCGAAGATGGTGAGTGATATGTCGTGAGTTCCCGTTGCAGGAAGCTGGAACGCTTATGGCGAGGAAAACTGAGAGTGCCGCAATGCGCTGGCTTGGTGTTTGTGTTGGTCTGGAAATATGTTCGGACCGCATACTCCAGCCGGAACTATCGAATGGGTATGAATATCATATAGGTGGGAGCAGGCCACAGTGGTGGTCGAATGTTAGTCGAATGCGAAAGGACACCTCGGAGCTCGTGTTGGCGCCTGTGCGTAGTGATCCGCCTCGCTCAGACTCCCACGCCCTCACCAGCATCGGGGTTGGGCACGTTGATTTTCTCTAAACGCCCATCCCTCCAAAAATATAGTCATACTACAATTGAAATAGTTGCTGTAACATATCGCGCATGATTGCTGCCGTCTTTTTCCTTATGGATCGAAGCGCGAAGCTCAACTCGGGGCGATACTGTAACCCTAATTTTCAATGTAGCCCGTACTCATCGGCCTGTGAGGCGCGGACCATCGAGCTCTCGAGTATGTTCTTGGATGGATTAGCTTCAACCGGTGTGGCGCCAAAGCATGCACGTAGTGCACCTGGATAACACCTATATGCATGCGAATACGACTGCCCTTTGTCACTGCTCAGTCGGGATACCTTAATCCATGAACACCTCATTATAATGCAACAGAATTAGATCGTTCTCATGCGCTCGTAACAACGTCCGAGTCAACAGTCGGTGGCGTACTAGCCCTCCTCCTACCCCTCTCCTCACGCTCCCTCTCTTCCCTCTCCCGTTCCTCTCTCTCCTTCTCCGCCCGCTCATGCCTCTCCTCTTCCTCCTTCACCCTCTTCTCCCACTCCTTCAGCAACCCCTCGTACTCCTCCCACACCGCTTGGCCCAGCATGACCCCACCGAGCTCCCCATCGTCTTCCTCCTCCTTCTCGTCTTTCTTCTCCGCCTTCTCAGCACCGTCGGTTTCAGGTGGTGGAGGCGCGGGCGGAACGCGAAGAGGAACGACAGCACATTCTGCGTAGAGAGCGCCTGGTTTCAAAACCTCGATCTCGTCGGGTGTTCGTCGTGGGCCAGACCCTGGTGCACCGTCTTCGTTCACATTCTCTCGCTCTACAGCGTCGGACTGTGCGAGCTTGAAAGGCGTAGGAAGGAAGAGTGCGTGTAAGACTGTTTCGAGCGCCGATTTGGGGGACTTCGTGAGGATTCGTATGAGTGGATTGAGGAGGATATACCTAGTGCACACATGTCAGACTCGAGACCTCATAGCGGGCATGAGGATCGACGTACAGAAATAAGCCTCTCCACGACCTAGGCCTCACAATCGATTCTGCCCCGAGTAACGGCGCGACCACGTCCCCGCGGCTGACTCCAGGAGACACAGAAACAGCGACTATATTCGATCGCTGCTTCTTCTTGCTCACGATAGTGACAGCCGGACCGTCCGTACGCGGCACCTGCTTGTTGTTCGGCAACGCGTCGAGTACACGTTGCAGGTGCCTTGTCAACACAACGGTGCGTAATGCCCGACGGCCTTCGGATGCCAACAGTCCTTCCGGTTTCGGCTTCCTGATTGGCGCGGAAGGCGATGTGGTGGGCGAGGATGAAGGTGGGAGTGCGCTGAAGCGCGGTGCGGCGGCAGAGTAGAACGGGTTGACAAGTGTGATCAGCCGTATATCGCGTTCGGCCGGTGCCACGAGCAACAGAGGCAAGAACAGCGTGACGAATAAGAAGGTACTCGCGCTGGCGTTCTCCCTCTCCTTCGCACTACTCCTCACAGTATACTCGTGGCCGAAGATGATCGCGTCTACACGTTGATTCTCCGTCTTCACGAATCCTTCGCAGAACTTCTTGATAGAACTTGGGGAGGAGAGGGAGACGTGTTCAGCGTAGATGAGCTCGTTGTTGTGCGTTTGGCGGAGGATGGGGACGAGGACGTGGGGTGAACCCGAGTCAATCGGCGTTTCAGATAGTGCAATTATGTGTGCTCCTCGACTCGCTAGGGTGTCCAGGAGTGTCAGACCTATTGGCGTGAACGCGCCCTAACACCAGTTAAATATACACGATCATGAGATACAGGAATTTGACATACAGTCAAAATTATAGTTCGACCATGTAGATCACGTTCTCTTGTCGTCTTTCTTCCTTGAGAGTATGTGTAGAGCGCGTAGATGGCGACGAGCGCGAGGACAACGTGGGTATAGTGATTGGGCGTGAGGAGGCTCGTCACCGCGGCATGCGCGATCTTCAAAACCATGCCCAGACTTCAGTATTCAATACAATCGGATGAACAAAGATGCAAGATGTCAGAGAAACTTTAGCTGGCCAGCGTCAAAACCATTGAGATGGCCAATGTAGGAAGCAAGATACTAGCCGCGCGCTTAGCGGTGGGTGGCTTGACGTTCGACCTCGGCCCGATCAACCGATGGGACAAATCCAACATGCGCGCGACGCGTGTGGCACCAGGCCCAACAAAGCAAACGCGCTTACACGCGCGTACAGCAGGTGTATAATCTACAAGTAGAGAGATTCTGACTACTACAAGCTACTCTAGTCATCCGCGTCCCAGTTACCCGCCTGTTGCGGGACCTTGGGCCCACCGGCCGGCCTGCTCATGATGATGCTGTCCACGCTGAGCACGGAGACGGCCGCCTCGGCCGCGAGCTTGATCGCCCAGCTCTTAGCCGCGAGCGAGTCGAATATACCCGTGTCGACCGTGTTGAGTGTGCCGTCGGTATTCGCCTCGACGTCGACGCCCCACACCTTCCCCTCGCCCTCGTTCTCATGCTTCGCCAATAGCCGCGCGACAACCTCGTTGCCCTCCGCGCCACCCAGTGCATTCTCTGCAAGGGTCCGAGGTACAACTTCGAGCGCAGCAGCAAACTTACGCACGGCGTGTTGAGCGAGACCGCGTAGGCCAGCGCCGTACACGTCCACTTTCCGTGCCAATGCGAGCTCGGTTGCGCCGGCTCCGGGAACAAGACGGCCGTCCTTGATGAGCGCCTTCAGTGCGCTGACACCGTCATCCACCGCCCTCTCCAAATCGTCCAGATGGTTCTGCGTTGCACCACGCAAGACGATCGTAGCCGTCCTTGTCTTGCCCGCGCTCTCCTGGCGCAACACGGTGACACGGTCGCCGCCGATCTCAATCGTCTCGGC